TAGCGTTGATCTTTCTTTTGCTCACTTGTACAGTTGCTACCGAACTTACACCACAGAACATGTCTAACCTCGTCGAACATCATCGAGGATTTGTCAATCAGAACTTTGGCTCTTTCCATATCAAACCATGAGTTGGTCACTTGGGATGCTCCAGATGCCCAAGATCTGTATCTTCGTTTGTTAATGTATGTTCTTGAGGCACCCAGTAAAAATCAGATCTCTCTTTAAAGACTCTTCCTCCCTGCATCTCATCCTTGGTTCAGAACGTCTTTGGACGTGAACGTCCTCGTCCGCAGCTCGTCCTCGCCAGGTCCAGTGTCACCTGATGGAGCTCAGTCAATCAAGCTCCGTGGAGGCAAGAAAACGATGCGATTCTGGGCGAGCCATTTGGGCGATGGGAGGTGAGATGGAGCTGAGCTTGAGAAGCGCCTGTCGAAGTCGAAGTCGAAGTCGACCTGTGATGTGAACAGAAACGAATTACTTTCTTCCGTCCGGAAGATAAGACATCACAGGTCCAACTCTGCTTAGTCTGGCAAGATGATTGATCCGTGATCATTGTTTTAAAGAGCAAGTATCCAGAGAAGCACTGCTTCCTGTTCTACATTTGGAACCCCAAAGTTCAATTCCACGTCAGATGGACTTGTGATGAGAAAGTCCTTTCGATCAGATAAATGACTAACAAACAACTCATGCATGGCATATTGGGTTGATGGTGTTCTTGGGCGTTCTCTTCAATTAGCATCACTGCATGTTTCGCGAGAGACAAGAAAGTAGAGTGAGCCTGACGAGGATTGAGCAGGTTCCATGTGGTTGTGAAAGATGCTTTCGTATTTGCATTTTGGAGACACCACTACTGTGGGCCCCCCGTGTTTTTGCACCTCAGCATTGCTCCTCGGTTCATGAACGTGCATATTGTGGATCGTTTGCGAGGGGTCATTTTCTTATTTAGGACGTTTTTGCTACAGCGGCGTAGCAGTTTTCAAAGACTGCAATAATGAACACTTGTCAGTCGGAGCCCAATATGTTTCAAACGGGAATCTTGCTGGCTAGTCTCCCTATGTGTTCAACGTTTGTTTGGAACCACCTTTGCGGTTCATGAAACGCGCAGGAAGACAAAGTTAGTGAAACAAAGATGAGGTGTTGACATTGATGATCCAACTCATTGTGCCCCCCACCCTGGGAAAGAAAAACATGGCATGACCGTGTGGTCGCATTTCAACATGTCCTTCACGAATACAGTACACTACGTTACGTGTTTTCAAGTTGAAGATTCTCTTACTCTAAGTCCGCACTACCTCTCGACCTCTTGCATGGATCGATGTCGGACCTGTTCTTGCTTGGATCTATTCTGTGATTGGAAAGGTGTGCGTTGGTTTGTCAAAAAGCCCTTGATGAAGGTGCTGAACAGCAAGAGATCCTGCATTATTTTCGCTCGGAGTAATCAAGAACTGGTCGGAGTGTCAGACCATTCACCCCATATCAGACCATTCAGTTGAACGCATCAGTTGACATGTGCTATTCGACCAGCCGGGCGAAGGCCTTGGGACCGCAGGAGGCCTTGGGACAGCGCGGGCCCTCGTCGTTTCGCCAGCGCGGCGGCGCAGATGTCCAAAGCAAGTAGACCCCGATAGTCTGACGAACATGGACCCTAAAGCTCTGGCAATTTGTTAGCTGCGATGTTTACAGGGTTTAGGGCTTGCGGCTGAAGACAGTCCAAGCAAGGAGTTGTTATAGTATAGGCTTAACGGCTGTTTGCAATTGTTCATGATGTCTGGCACGCTTGGTGCCAAGTGATGGACAACGCTCGATCATGCCCTGATTCACAATAGGCTTTCTTGGTGCATTGTTTGTTTCCTGCAAATTGGAGCTCATGAACTGAAGGCCCCCTTCCAGAGCTGCAACGGGGGAAGAGCTGGGGGCATGTGACTTGTTTTTGGGAATGGGTTGACAGGAGATGACAGGAGGAAGGATGAAGTGAAGTAATGATGCATGCATGGCGTAGGCCAAAACATTCTCTGTTGGTCAAGCTTAGCCTTTGATTGAGCCTTGAGGCAGCAAGCCAACCTGATGAATTTGACATGTTCACCCCATGTCTGATGTCTCAAATTTGAAGCTAGCATTCTGTCAATTTGCTGGTGGTGTTGCATGAGACCATTAGCAGCAAGCCATTGTTGACTGTTACTGTGCAGGAGAGGGAGTTTACAGTACTGTAACTCAAATTCCGTGGAAAAGAGATCCAAATCAAACAAACGACACTCCTGAAAACTAATATGGACCCGGGTCAAATGGCACCCTGAAGGACAGTTTTCCTCAACAAAACCAGTGCTTTGTTTGTTCTTGTCGAGGTATGCAATTGGGCCAGCTTCTGAAGGAGCCTTGCAGAAACATGATAGATCTAAATCTCCACTACATGCGTACAAGCCCGACAAGCTCCATTAGTTCCTGAACTGAGACTGTCTCCTGAATTTTCCTGAACTGTTCTTGGACAGCAATCAGCCTGGTCAAGAGTTTGGGTCTACAGTCGAAACAGTGGCTGAAACCGCCAAGCAGTCTGTGACAGTTGAAGGGACTCCGCAGGGACTCCCCCAAAAACCAGGTTCTTTGTCCACCGAATGATGCAACACTTGTGCTACACCACAGTATACTTGTGCTTTCCGCCCAGAGCGCGCAAACTGCTTGCAGCGGCCAGTGGGACCACTGAGGAACTGGCTCTTGCGGCTAGGGACACCAGGAGGCCGACGTTTGGGGAGTGGGCACACACAGTCCCACATCGCATGATTTCTTTATAGTTTTTTCGTCCAGAACTGACATGACATGTCACCACAGTCAACGCAAACGTTCTGTCCCGTGTTGTCAACAGCCCTTCCACTTGTGGGAGACTGGACAGGAATAGTACATGCCACAAAAAGCGACCCCTTTGGAGATGCTTGATGCCTATCGTTTGGACATGTTTGGACCCGAGCAAAAATCCATGACCAAATTGTCCCGCATGTTTTCTGGTAGTGAAGGGACTTTGCCATACTTTGCCTAAATTGATGTGCTTGCTCACCAAAGGAACCCATACCGAGATTGAACACGCTTACTTTCAGTGAAGCTTGTAAGAGAAGGAGTACAGAACCCATCAGAACCCTGTGTTTCCATCAGCACAGGTGCTCAAGAATGACTGACGCGGACAAGTTTGCCGTTGTAAGCCAATTTGCCAGCCCATTATATACATCTATATAACTATACAGATGCCACCCCAAAACCATCCCAAAACCACCCATGAATGTCCTTGAACATCTTGAACTGGTCATGGGCCATTCACGGGAGAAAACAAAGGGTCCTGGTTCAGCTATGACTATGAAGAATCCAAGACCTCACGAATTCTTTCAACCCACAAAATGGTTTGCTGGATGTTCGTGGATGTCAGACAACCAAATCGTGTTCGTCGATGTCCAGGCAACCTGCGTCGACCATTCCGATTCGCATGGTCGCTCCCGTCGACCTTTTCCCTGAGGCGACCGTCGCTCCCGGCTGCTCAGCGGTCGAGAACAGGCCCAGTGGCGGAGCATTGACGCGCGGTGCAGCAGACGCAGCAAGCAATAGGCTTCAAGGTGCAAAGGTGCAGAATCACCAGATAGAACCCCACCAAATCCAAGTCAATCAAGTGTTGCAGGGGGCTCATGATCAGGTTCTGTGTTTTGTGGGTGGTCGATCTTGGGATTGAAGAGGCCAAAGAAACATTGAAGCTTTGTGGACCGAATAACCAGGGCTGTGTGGTGCGTGTTTACTACTATTTCGGGGACCCGAATCACTTTGGAGTGACTGCCATAGTGACATACTGAAGGGTGATACTGCTGGATTTATACTCCGAGCAACACCTCACATGGTCGTGGAGGGCACCACATGTTTGTAGTGGAGTCCATAGTAATCCGGCCATGCCATCCACCTCCGTGAGGGTTTCAGAGAATGGTGGATAAAATGCAACCTTGTCACCCTTGTCTTGACAACATGCTGCCTGAGATATGTCGGCAATCAGGGGAAGATTGGGTGGTGTTACTGTATGTTACTGTTGGATTGGCCCCCTGAACCGTTGGATAGGCCCTGGTGTTATGAGATGTTCTGAAATTGTTAAGAACATTTTGATCTGCAATTTACAATAGTTGAGAACTGTTTAGAACGATGGACATTTAATGTGCCATGTGCCATGTGCACCTTTCCAAACACTATTAACAGGAAATACCTCTGCATCCCAGCCAGTATTTCAAGGTGTTGCAAGAACCCTTGCTGTGCTCTTGTGGATGGGATCTCATTGCCAGCCTTGACGGGATGGACACGGTGTTTTCTTCGGTGACGACGCTTTGGCTGCCAGCAACGGTAGGTTGGAATGGCATTAGGACCATGGCTGCGGCTGTGCTTGAAAAGGCAGCCCCCCCCCCACTCAGTCAAAGAACAACCAGTATGATTTTAAGTGAAGGTTCCCATATCGAGGCGTTGCACAAACGAAGAACACATCGACATAGATCCTCTACTTGGGGACATTGATGTCTTCAATCTATAGATTCAAGTAGAATGGACATCACCGGCTCCTCGTTGACTCCAGGCACGACATGCGATCCTCTCGTGGCGGCTGAAACGGTGCGGCAGCCAGCTCGCTAGTTGCGCGCTCGCTCCGCAGCGATCTGAAGGCTGGTCCTTGGCTGCGTGTACGCCGGGTGCATGGAACACTAACAAAAACAAGAAACACACACACAACAACAAAACAACAGTTTTTAATTAGGATTAAGTAGGTCTTCTTTTTGTCATTTTTCAGGTTCATTGTCAAGCTTCCCGGGTCCCGGGTGTATGTGCCATGGTCCGCAGTCCTAAGCGCTTCAGTCGAGGTGTCCAGCGGTTTCGTTGATCCCTCACCGGGACTCTCTTGTAATCAGTAAATATAGCGGTCTTGGCACCAGGATACCTTCGTTGACCTGGCGATACTTCATTTGAACAAACATATATGTTGGAGCTCCAGGCTTTGACCCATTCATATATATATATATGTATCTTTGCTAGCAAAGGGGGTGGAGGAAGTCCTTGTAGCGCCGAGCAGCTCCCTTTTGGAAGGGGGAAGATGAATACAGCGGCTCCGAATTGTTCCCTTCTGAGAACCAGCTAGTTTGGTATGGTGTAGGTGTGACTTGCGGCTGAAGTTGTGCCATTGCTGTTGGATGGTCTTTGTGCAAGTCATGCTCCAGGTTATAGTTAGCATGAATGAATGAAATTGATATGGATCAAGAAAGTCTTGTTGAGGGTGAGCCAGCACAGAGGAAATGTACATTAATTAGAACAGGCATGACACGGCATATATGATGTACTAGAAGATGCGAACATGCAGATATTAGAGTGTAACATATAGATCTTCTTTTGATGTGAGGACCCAGATAGAATCATCCTGTCAGGAACCAGATTCTGGAATACGTCTCCTATGATGACCATGAGCATACGTTCCTCACAGCGCTACTGAGGTTGTCAATGGCGGGGATGCCAACTGAGACTAAGAACCCAAGAACCCAAATCTACATCTACACACGGGTGAAGGATTCAAGATAATGACTCTCCTAAATCGGTGCTGGGTCGCATGGCTTCGCTTGTGATGGCTCTCTTGCGGCCCACGGAGCCCTAAGGCCCTACTTGATTTACAGCTTGGCCTGTGCCACCGTGATGTTTGGCCTCTTAGCCCCTTGGCCGGAGGCGAGGGCAGTTAGGTCCACGAAGGAGGTCGGTGCGCATTTGGAGGTCGGTCATCCCCAAATCGTTCATTCCAACTTGCAGACGTTGCATGAGCTCGGCCAAACGACTCGTAAAAAAGGCTTCGAAGGAATCACTTTGACAACTTCCCAATATCTTCCTATAAATATACAATGTTGTTTCCGGTGTGCTGTATCTTTTTGATTGGAAAACTCAGGCAGCTTTGGAAATTGTTTTAAAGTTAATGCATGTTGTTCAAGCAAACTTAATTTATCAGAGCGAACTAGGAACATGTAAGAACTCTTTGGTATTTCTTGTTATATAGCAAGTTTTTACGTCCAACCAACCCATATGGCCTTGCAGGGCTTTGCTGGTGCAACATATTCTGGTGTACTCCTTGAGTGTCCCAGAACTAGAAAACTGCACATCCATCACTCGCTTGGGTGGCAAAACTTATGCAAACAAAGACATGCCCATGCTAATGACCTTGTACCTAGCTACCTTCCTGCCGTGCCTCCTGCCATGCTTCATGACCTGCATAGATTGATGTGACCAGCCTGCTGAGATCGGCTGAGGTTTGGAACATTGTGAAAGGCGTCGGGTGCCTTTTTGTGCTGTTGGAGTGCATTGGTAGATGCGTAGATGAGATGCACAAGGATGCACAAGGTGTTTGGTTGTTTCTTTGTTTTTTTGTTGATTGTTTTGTTTTTATTGTTTTTTTAATGATACGGCGACCACCGAGATCTACACATGTACGAGATTGTCAGATAAAGACATCGGGCCCTAGGGCAGCCGGATTCAGAGTCAGCAAGCAACGGTCAGGCAGCTACTTGGGGGGTTGCACCAAGATCCAGGCAGCGGGATTTGCATGAAGCCTTTTCGCCTTGCCAAGATCCAGAACAACTGGAACCTTCCGCAGTGGAAACACCACCGTTGGTAGCTCAGCTCCTTTTTGGAGATGTTGGCAGCTCAGGCAGCTCAGTTCGTTTCAGAGGTCAGACAGTTGCCAGATGCTGCAAGACGCTAACTGACCCTTTCTGATTCTCTTCGGCTCGCGTGATGCTCGAAGGACTCGGATAGAATGAAATGGAACAGAAAACAACACCTCAATCAGCAGTATGAGATGCTCCATTTCTTTCCACCCAGCTAGTGAGAGGTCAGTTCTCCCAAACCTGTTACGGCAGCCACGCACATGGACCGAACCACCGATGGAGCAGAGGTTGGGAAGAAGTCTTGGAGGTCACGATTGGCCTCGTGCCGCTTGGAGCAGAGCCATCATGAGCCCGTCGACAACAGATGAAACATTAATGTACATACTGTCCTCGTAGGTGATACAAGTAGGGCCGCATTCATCTGATACAGGTCGGGTGGTATGTTTTTAATAGTTTTGTTGAGCTTCCCGGACCTGGGTTGTGCTTTTACTCCGATGGGACCCGCTGTTGGATGGAGGCAATAAGAATCGGAAAACGCTACTGATTGAACGTATCCTGACGGACGAGGATTTCAATGGATTTGACCGCATATATTTTCTGGGGGAGAACGCCCCAAGACTGTTACACGGAAGGGATTCTCACAACGCTTGCAACAGATGAAACCGTGATCGTGGTGGTATTCGTTTCATCGCAAGGGCATGTCCGTTCCGAGCTTCAGCCAGGATTGTCCTCGAGGTCCTCCTGACCCTGCGCGTGCTTGGGGTCCGGGACCCCCGATTGGTGGCAATTCCGGGAGGGGAGGTCCCTCTCCACGGAAGCCGAGCTTGGCCGGTGCCCGTGATCCATCCACTTGGCAGCCAGGCATGTTTGTTGGGGCTCGGGGGGGAGTGGACTTAGAATACAGTAGACACAAACCCAAGACCCCATACTGTATAAGTTTCATCTTAGAATACAGTGGACTTCTCTATACATCTTGTTCTTTCTTTTCTATGATGTTTAAAGTTTTAAAAGATGAAACGCAATGAAACGCACACTTTCAAGATCCAGATCATTTCAAGGGGCCCACACCTGGGATGTGTTAAAGGTCTTCTGTGGGATGTGTGAGTTGTTGCTACGAGCCGACAAACAGCTTGTTGGAGCCTTTGGGTTGGGAGACATCATACACCAAGAGGACGCCGGCATGTTGCTGTTCATTCCTCTTGTTGCATGATGTGCACTGAACAGATGGCACAACTCAGTCTCCTTCAGCTTCTCCAGCCATCTACACCAGACTGGTCAACACTAATAGGTCAGACGCCCGTGAGTCTATCGCAGTGATCCACCCGCACCCGCACTCCAAAGAGTACTCGGTCGTGCTCAAAAGAGCTATTCTTCAGTGATGGAGTGTGAAAATCTCCAAGTCCCAGACGTGAGGTGTCCTCCATCTTCTCGGACATGTTCAATGTGTCTCCATCGTGTCGACCGTCGTGTCCACCGTCGTGTCGACCAGAGATCTTCAGATCTCCGAAGTCTTACTGTAAGACATTAGATTAAACAAACAAACCTCGGAATCTCTCACCTGAAAGTCCCAAAAGCATCCCAAAGCCTCAATTCATGCATGAACATGCATGAACATCGCGGTAGCCAAATGTTCCAACAAGTCAGGTGTTTTGTACATGTCCGTGAACCAGAGGGGAACTGGCCAGATTGAGGTGCGAGACTTCTTGGCCAATCCCTGGTGTGTTTTCGATGCGTTCGGGCTCTTAGCTTCCATTGGCGAAATAGCTGAACGGTGTGCTGGCTTGAGTCGTCTACAGATCGATACACAATGTTTCTAAGGAAAAAACAGGGGTTGGAAAGGCATTTCCTTGCATGGCTAGTGTTGGAAAGCTTGACCACTTGCTACAAGTTCTCCTTGCAGAAATGTTGGAGAAATCAATGGCAATTCGTTATGCAACGGAAAAGAAAGCGCTCTTGGCACTTGGCCATGATAAGACAAGTGGGTTCCTCCTCTGTCTCCAGGTGTTAAGCTCTTGGCACTTCAATTTCTTAACCCATTTTCCAGGACCGTGGCTGTGCTTACAGTTGTGGGGAACTCAGCGGGGGCAGCATGGAGTTCTGTTTTTCGGCTCTGAGCTGGAGAAAACACAGAGGTTCTGAGGATTTGTTCCGGTAATCAAGGTGTATCGACAAGCCAACTGTTGGAGACTTGATATGTCATACAACAGATGTCTCTTGCGTGCGCATTGTATGTATAGCATAGCAGCATTATAATTCCCTAGAACCAGACATAACCTTTGTGTGGGGCTTTGTCAAAGACATGAAAAGACCATGTTTGGGCTCCAAAACCGGGGTCATGTTTGCTTTGGGTCCTTTTTTTGGTACTTCATCCATTCAGTTCTGGCCACCAGCGAGCCTTCAACTTTGTCCCAAGGTTTCAACCGGCTACGGCCTGGAGCATTTGGGCCGGCAGGGAGAGATTTGCGAGGCAGATCTGGCACCTCAGTCAGATCGTGTCTGACAGAGGGTCCAACACGAAGTTTCCATCAGTCCGATCCATCTAAAAGAACCGTCCAAGTTTGGGAGAGACACGTCGAGAGTGAAAAGAGGTTTTACTTGCTGGGTGTGTGTCTGTGTGTGCAACTGACCTACTTGCATGGTTTCTGGCAAACGAATGCTTTTGTTTGATGTCAGGCGCAGCTCCCCTTGCTTTTTCTGCGCTTTGTGCTTCAACCTGCTCGACTGCTAGCTGCTGTGGTTGGGGCAGCCCAGGCAGCCCAGTTCTTTTTTCACCACATTGACGTGTGCTTTTTTGTTTTTAGTGTGGTATCCGCTCCTCCTTCCCGCCTCCTCTTCCCCACCAATTGCCACCAACCAATTGCCGACAATTAGTTGGTGGCAATTTGTTGGTGGCAATTGGTTGGTAGCAATTGGTGGGTGGCAATTGGTTGGTATTGGTTGGTGGAAATTGGTGGGTGGCAAATGGTTGTGACAAGTGGTGGGTACCAACCAACTGCCACCAACCAATTGCCACCCACCAATTGTCACCAACCAACTGTCACCAACCAATTGCTACTAACCAACTTGCCACCAACCAATAGTCACCCACCAACCGCCAATTGTCCGCTCCTGTGTCTGGTGAAGTTGTCAACATTTGGGGTCATCTGGTCCTATAATTACAGGTGTTTTGTGTTTTTTGCCGACTGATTGGTGGACAAAAAACATCGTTGCGGTCCAATAACACCCTCTCATCCCGTCGTTGAGAGACTCAGCGACTAGGACCACTTTCTGTTCAAAGGAGCCTGGCCGAACGCCCAATGCGAGCAGCACAGTTTTGAGTGCCAGCAAGGCTGTATACGCGAAGTGCCGGTCCATCGGAATAGGGCTGCAGCATTGGTTGCCAGCAATTGTATCATATTCCCTCTATATTAAATCAACCATCAGCCGGGAACATGCTTGCCATCAGACGGTCAAAGGAGGCTCACGTTGGTCAGATCTGATGCGTTGGATTCGTGGAGTGCTTTTCGGTCGAATGCATCCGACCTATACCTGCGCTGCGGATCCCGAAGGTACGGAAGGTAGTGCGACGGTTCCGCCTGGCGACTGTTCCGACGCGTCCAAAAGAGAGACCGTTGGAATCCTTTGGATCCAGCCACCCTCAGTCATTTGTTCCAAGATGATAACATGAAATGTTTTTTTTGGCTCATTATTATTCTCATTTCTTCCCGAAAAGTTCCCTCATTCCACGAGTCAGAAGCAGGAATTCATTCCCCTCCCCACACACGCACCCACCCACCCACGCACACGACTTGCGGTCCATTCATTCCATGGAATCCAAGAAGGATTCCAGATGATTTTGGTTTGCACTTCATATAAGCCATTGGTGTAGCCTGTCCCGATGATTTCATGCTCAACAGAAATAACAAAAATCCTGATCTTCAACAACAAAAATCATCAAAACTCAGTCGCATCAGTCAGTCCGATTCCCCCAACAAGAAACACCACCCCCTCGATGAGCTCAGACGGCCCGCGCGGGGACGTGTGAACCGTGAACCTCCGAGGTCTCAACCTGGCGAACCCGACGGATGCAGCGCGGGACCTCGTCCCCAGACGAGTTTTGGCAGATGAACACCATTGAACACCTTTACTGTTTGCTTAAAATAGATCCTTTTTCCCCACCTGTCAGGTGAGGGTTGTTAGATGTTTACAGATTCAGATAGCCTTCTCCTCCTTCTCCTTCTCCTTCTCCCCCTTCTCCTCCGCCCCGGACCTCAACAGCAAGTGCCAGATAGCAGTGGGCACTGCCGGACCTCAACCGCAAGTGCCAGATACGCAGCGAGCACTACCGGCTCTCAACCGCAAGCGCCAGATCACATTTGGGCACTGCCGGACCTCAACACACAAAGCGCAACCGCACAACATCACCACAAGCACAGAAGACAAACCGCGGCGAAAAAACACAACCGCAATAACCAAAAGCACACAACCACAAACAAGCAACCACAAACACACAACTACAAGTACACAATCGCAAACATACAACCACAAACACAAAGTCACAAACACACAGCCACAAACACAGCCACAAACACAATCACGAACACACATCGACAAACACACAAACCACAAACGCAATCACGAACACGCAAACGCGCAACCACAAACACAAAGACAACCACAAGCAGACAAACACAATGACAAACACAAACACACAACCACAAGCACACAACCACAAGCACACAAACACAAACACAATCACAAACACACAACCACAAACATACAACCACAAACACAACTTGAGACACGATCACAAACATATCCCGCGAACACACATTTCCCAAACAAAACCACCAGCACGCAGCAGCACAACCAAACACGACAACAAACACACAACCATAAACACATCCACAAACACACAATGACAACAATAAAGCCACAAACACAATCGCAACCACAAACACACAACCACAACCACAAAAACAACGGAACAACACAATCACACAACCACAGCACAAAACCACAACACACCAACCACAATACACAACCACAACACTCGAACACAACCACAAAAACACAACCACAAACACACAACTCCTCACCTTGGCATGAAAACAAATGATTGACTTGTCATGGTGGGGATCACTCGAAGTAGGGTAATTTTCATGTCTCAGCTAGAGGGTCATAGCATGCCAGCCACCCTCCCTGCAACAATCATTGAAGTGGACAACCCCCTCTTGGTAGAGGAAGATAGTGCCATTGTCCGCTTCCGTGATTCTTTCAAGGGAGTGTAAATGATATTTAAAATTCGTTTTAAAATAACAGAAACGGGGAACTCGCTGCATTCATGTCCAATTCGAGTCCCGAACAAGCCTTTTTTTGATGCTGTTCCATGGGACAGACCGGATGTGAACCAATGTGACTTACCTCTTTGCAATGAGTTCAATTGGCACAAACCCAAGACCATTATGACTTCTCACAGTCATTAGATGTCATTAGGCTTTCCGCCATCATTTCCAGTTCAAACTCTCAAAAAATCCCCGCGGCATGAGTCAACAGAGTTTCATAAACGTGAGGACACTCCAGAAAAGGACAAAAACAAGAGTTCAAAACATTGTTTTGGCCAGTGACTTCCTGTTCGGAACCTTTTGATCTCCCTGTGCCGTGTCCGATGGATGTGAGAAATCGGTTCGGCGTCCGCTCGGCTCGTCGTCGGCGAGGTTGGATGCGCACGAGCTGCGCGTGGATGTGAGAAATCTCTCCACGAACGGCACACGCTTCCAAGCTCTTCAGGCGAACTCGTGCTGTGAGGTCAGTGAGCCGAGTGAGCCAATTGTTCGTCCTCAAAAAGTTTGTTTGCCAAGTGGTTCAGATACGGGTTGCCCAAAACACACCGGCAAGAGTTTTAAAAACTGTGTAGTTTTGGTTTGTATGAAAACTGAGATTGGGAAGAAGGTTTGTTCCAGACGAGGCGCCCTTGATTTCCCTTTGACGCCTTCAATGTTCGGCTCAGGAACTCAACTGAGAACGCAATCCGGGTGGCAAAGCGTCCGAGCCCTCAAAAACGGGTGAAAGGGAATGACAAAGAGGTGCCAAGGATAGCTGCTGCAACATTGACGCGAGGGGGGGGCAGCAAGACTGGAAAGACTAATTTTTCATCAAGAAACACAAAACCACCAGAGAAGACAAGGCCGCGGCCCATATTCTGTGCTTTGCCACTTTAAGGACGAGAAACAAACCGGCCGCCTTCTTTCACAGCAGCATGACATTGTTTTCATGATAGGGACCTACAGCGAGGTTCGGTTAGAGTATTTAGACTTGTGCAGCGAGCAAGGAGGAGGTTCTAGTTGTTTGTTAATGCCTCAATGATGCTGTGCTTTTTGTAACTTGGACCATCTTCGGGGCTTCATGATGTTTCATGTTGAGCACGTGGACACTGGAAAGTGTATGTCGCACACACCTCGGATGCACAGCAGCCCTACTCCGTGTGGCACCGTCCAAAGTGGCGGCGAGGTCGACGAGAAAAAGACAGTCACGTTGGACTGACGAAGAGAAAGTCTTTTGGGGAATAGGTCCAAGGCTAGGTTGTTGAGCTTGGCACCGGGGTTCATGGCTAGTAGTAACAAGTGCCACGCTAGTAGTAACAAGTGCCTTACTAGTAGTAACAAGAAGCTATTAGACTTAAATTTAATTTTGCTCCGTAGATGTCGGATGGAGTGGGGATTGGCGCATGTGTTCGTGGGTCCATGAGTCCGGACTGCTCTGGCTCACATCGGTCCTTTAAAGGGGTCCGACTGTCGGTCCTATTGATTCCTTATGATTGATTCGTTGATGCAAGGCTTACCACCTTCTTCCGCGTTTTCTATCAATGCCCTTGCTTGAAGTCCTAAGCAGCTTGTTGACGCAGTTTCTTGCCACCCAAATAAAACAAAAAGAACAACTCTCCCTGTCCCTGCAGAAGACTGCTCAATTTGTTGCCGCTTGAGGGGCGAAACCAAGAGCTCTTGAGAGGGCAGGCAGGTCAAACTTCAAGAGCACTTAGCTGGCCCGCATGAAACATACTGTTGCCCTTTGGCCCTTTGACTCACCAACATGGAAGTGGATGGCATGGTCCCGAGTTCGGAAGACAACTTTCCTCTACCCGCCGCGGGGGTTAGTGCTCCACTTCCATGCTAGTCAGTCAGAGTGGTGAGGCAATGTGATACATATGGGTGTGTATTTTAGGAGGGAGACACCTCGGCCCTGGCTGGGTAGACTGGACGATGTTTCATTTTTGTTGAACCTTCCACGAGGTCGGAAAGCCTCGAAGGTCTCCCTAAGGACCCAGCTACACACCCAGAAGTCTCCCATGTGCGGAACCTTCCAGGGCCTTCGACATGCTCCGATCCCGCATCCGATACTTCGACGAAGTAGCGTCTGATGCCAAGCTAGGCGCCGCCCTCAAATGATTTCAGGCTTCGACGATGGGAAGATAGTTGTTTAAACAGTGGAACAGATCAACCGAAGTCACAGGCTCTTCACAGTAAATCAACATTATATATGGCAGCGAATTCAGGTGATAACATTGAATTGATCCATCACACCATCCCCATCCCATCCGTCATGACCGCACAATCTCACCTTCTTTTCTGCAATCACATCCTTTTTGACAAGGCGATTGAAGAGTTGACTCCTTCCGAATTCTTCACAGCCCACGCTTCATTTTATCCCAGAACCTTCCCTTGCACAAGACATGCCAACCAACCCAACAAAAACATGTCATCCCACCTCCCAACACCAATGAAGGCGACCTCCCACCCTGTATCGCACCCTGATTTTTCACGCGCGCTACGACGCCTTGCCGGCCGGAGCAACACACCGGGTCGGACCGGCCATGTCGGTCGAACGCCCCATTCGCTTGAGATGGTCCCAGGAGGAGTGTTTTCGGTGGTCCGGTGGTTTTTCAGACGTGGAAAAGGAGAGGAGACGGAGGAGAGGATTGAACACTCATGGTCAGTCATACTGAAGCAAATTCACTGTCATGTGTTGAACATTGAGGTTCCAGATGTTTTGATTGTAAATTCACTGTCATACTGAATCTCATGCCTCACGCATCCAGGGGCGCCCCATTTTGGGCCAATCCAGGAGAAAAATCTTGGGACGTTTCTTCACTGCCCCAAATGGGGTTGGAATAATGCCTCCCAGCATGCAGTTTATTAGTAGGAGCTGTTCCCAAAGTACCTACATTAAGCCCCAGAAAGCGATAAGAGGAAAATACATGCAAAAACAATCGACAACGATGAATGACATCAGGACATGTTGATTTAGGGATGATTGCTTGCAGTGTGTTGCACTTACAATTTGGAGCTGGATTTGTGCATTCATTGATCCATCCGCTGGCATGATAGACATCGAGGTTCACTCTAGAGCTCGTGGTATCTTTGGCGGATTTTGGAGGGTATCAGAACGGTAACAAAAACGATATAGCTATGTAATATATTATATATAACTATATAACGTTTCCCTCAAAAAGGTGCATGCGTGACCTAGCCGTTCTTTTTCATGTTTTTCATGTGGTATACACTCATGCCTTTGCAAGCACTTCCCACTCCCCAAAACTGCAAGCATTCCTACTACATCAACCTCTCCGAGGTTTGAGCAGACTGCCGCAGCTTCGAATCAATTGCTGCATACTGTGCTGAACCACGCAAATGTCAGCACCATACGGGCCCCTTTTATGGGATGAAGCCACCAGATTCAGGTTACACGATTCAGCTGTGCAAAACTCTCATCAGACAATGGCGGAAACTGGAGACTGAAAGAGAAGTGCGCATCCATGCAGCTTCGGAAGGGGTCCTATATATACTATAATGACATACTATCCACATCCATGAACATGACATATCATATACATATTCATATCACATATCCCTACATATCATAGGGTCCCAAACCATTAGAATAACCAACAACGATTAAGAGGAACATGATATTTACTATAGCATACAAAGCCCTTCATGTGATGAGAGGAAAGCACCAACATTTTGCTGCCAAATGGACATAGCAAGTTGTGTATGGGGTTGGGTTTCTTCACAACCCCCAGATCATCCCATTTCGAGGTCGCCGGACAGGTCGCCGGCGACCTGGGTTTTCGGCCGTTCGCCGCTGTGTTCGCGCCTGGCCGACGTGCAGGATGCCTTGCTGGAGACCTTTACCCAGAGGCATCCATACTTCCTCCTGGCCGCCAGCGACCCCAGGCGACAGAAAAGAAGGATTTGTGATACTAGAAGCGATGCACTTCTTGTTACTACTAGCGTCCTTAATGAAGTGATGAAACAATGTCCATTTGCATTCAACTGGGCCACTCATTCATCTGCTTTTTCTCTGGAGCTTCCCCATGGTGTTGGTGCTTGATTGATATCATTGAAATTCAATCCACCGACATCAGTTCTAACTACATGGGTGGGACGTGGGGGAAAGCGACATCAGGACCGCAATTCCGCCCCGACAGAGACCTCGTTTGACTAAGTTCACCTATCATAGAAGAACAAGACCGAATGAGGTCAATAACCAATAATTTTGCTGCAGACCATGGTAGATCCAGACAGAGCAAACCTTGATTGGGCACATGCAATGGCTGCCAGAGCAAAATCTTGGTGTCCGTGAGGGCACTGACGGAGTGTCATTTTGTTTGCATGCCTTCACTGTTTGAAAGATAGGCCTTAAAAACAATTCGATCTTTATTCAATGTGTTTTTCCCAGAAGCATTGGCGTCATGGCCACGTTGGAAGCTCGTGGGATAAATTACGGACATTTGGTAGCGCGCAATGGTTTTGTGCAGATGGTTGCAATGTGTTGCATGCCTCGAGATCGTCCCATGCGGGGTATTGCGCGGGTCCCCAAGTCATCACCTGCTGAACGGAGCGTGCATGGTTGCGCGCCCTGGAGATCTCCCCTGCTGAAATAACGGCTTGGCTGTTCCATCGCTTTGCAGATGGACGAACAACATGGAAATCCAACGATCTTACATGTTGCTTTCGTTTGGGGCATTGGTGGTTGTACGTGCAGAGCCACGGCTGTCGTGCATGTCGATTTCAAGTGTGAAAGTAATTGAAAGTAAGTCAGGTGTGTAAATGAGTGCTTTTTTAACTGTCAGGTTTTGTAGAGGTGGGATGTTCACCTTAGGCGAAGCATACACCGTAATTTTAGTCAACAATCCTCTCCAGGGGAAGATCATTGTTGACATGTGTGGTGTTTGGTTGTTCATACATTGTTACATTCTCTTCCTTGGTGTCTTAGAGATTTAGAGATTTGCAAGGTGTTTTTTATCGGTTTCCAAAGAGTTTACTTTGTGGAATGGATTTCAATGATGTTTTGGCTGACCGTCCAAGCAAGAGCAGCCTTACCAGGTCACGCCTTACTTGGGTGTATTGACTGTCTTGAAGCATTCCCATCAACAGCAACTCGAGGGAAAACCATCGATCGCACATGATGAAACGTTCCTCTTGAACCATGAAACATGGTTGTAAAGGCCTCATATTGCGCACCCTGTTCATGTCCAAATCAAAATTTCGTCCAAAATCCGACCATACCCCTTGGGATTCCAATCACACGGTGGGGGTGCATGGAGGGTGCAAGGCTGAAAATGGACTCGTTACAGCAGCCCGCGGCATTTAACATGTTCTTGTTGCACTTTGCTTTCTGCTTCCGGGCGATGGATAACAGTTGCAGACGCTTGGACAAGCTTAGACTCAAATTCGTCAAGCAAGTGGCGATCATGCAATTTGTGTTTGGGACACACCTTAGACACTGTGATTCGCTAACGTTGGGCAACAAAGCTGCATCACGGAAACGGCGTGGCAAAGAGGAATCTGGTTACGTTTTGAGTCACCAATCACCGTGCGCATTTCAAGATTTAGACTGTCCGCGCAGAACTGGATCCACGCATCAGTGCTTACCATGAGCACCTTTTGGATCCTTTTGGCTCAGTTTGTGCCGGAAATACACGCCGCACAAAAATGGAATAGTCATTGGATGACTGCCGCCATTTTGAGCAGAATGACGGACCAATCCACAGAGATGCATTCCAAGTTTTCACATTTGTTTGTCTCCAATTGCTTCCACGTTTGACTGTTGATTGGCATCAACAGTCAAATGTGGAAAC